TTATATTTTATAACAAAATGAGTTCTGTCACCCTAGAGCACCTGTTAAATACCATTTATTGAACTCGTTAAGGATGTTTTAAGAGGCCTTATCGGTAGGCTGCTGCAGGCGGCAAGTTGAAAGAGAAGGTTTTTGCTTAAGGTGCAGCCACAGTGAATCTTGACTCTTCTCTTTCCTCTTCTCTTTTGCCTTCCCTTTTTCCTCATTCTTGCTTGCCTGATGTACTCACTGATGTGCTGCTTCAAGTCACTGATCACCACCACTGTTCCTCCAACTCAAAACCGCTGGGGAAAGTAGGATACTGCCGGCCTGAGGCAAATTTCTGCTACTAAGGCAAAACCAGAGCTCACTTCAGAAAAATCAGGGGAGCAGGCAGCAACTGAAATGGAGGCCAGTTTGTGGGTGCAGTTCTACACTATATTTAATCTGCAAAATATATTGGCTGCCATTGAAAGGAAAAGTCTGGCTTTTCCTTTATCTCGCGTGCTCGTCCCACTACATTGCTTGTGCGAAGTCGAGTGATTACATCAGTCAGTACAATCTGATCAGCTTGCAGTGTGGACTGAGAAGTAAATGGTAAGGCTGGAAATGGAGATGGTTATATTTCAGTGCGATTAGTGTGCTGACGCCTGTACAAAAAAGGAGGGGGAAACGCACCCTTCAGGCATGCGTGTGGAGAGATTGGGGTTGTCGCTTCTTGCTGGAATGCAGCCTTACCGCTGCAAGTGGAGATGCAGAACTTGAGAGCTCTTGTTTGGGACTACATGTAAGATACTGGGAAGGGAAGGAGAGACAAAATCAAAGCAAAACTTACTTAATGCGTTTGAAGTGATGGCTGAGGTATTTAATGACGTAGCTAAACTGCCTTACACCTTTTGTTGAAAGCCGCTTACGTTGTTGTAGCGTGTTGATGCACTCAGGTGTGTCTTATTTGTAGTCTAACCACATGGCTTCAGTGTTTTACTACTGGACTTTGTTATATCTTGCCTACTGAACTGAAGTAGTCTTAACTATCAAATTTCCAGTCCTGTGTATATACATACAAATGTCTTCAAGTTGTCTATAATCTTCTCTTTGATTTATGCTAAACAGATCTAGCTTCTGAAGGGTTTCGTGATAGGGCACACTTCTCCAATCCTTTATTCTTTTAGCCGTTTCTGCTGAGCTGCCTGTCATATGTATAAATATCTTCTGAATTATGGTCATCAGGAACTGAAAGTATTATTCCAATAGTAATTTCAGTAACAGGTTGGAAATACTTGTACCTTGTTAATCCTATTCAAAATTTCCCTTTTTATACGTTTCCAAAATGGCAAAATCACTTTAATGCAGTATTGCACTGGTCTCATGTTGGTGGTTTATTTGTCAAGACCCAAAGTCCACATCTGAAGAGCTGCTTTCCGAGGTACTCCTTGACTCTGTTTGAATAGACAGCGTGCTTTGTTCCCAGGTACATATGACTGTATTTTGGTTAGACTAAAATTCATGCACTTCATCCTGCTGTGATGCCAGTTGACTCAGATTGCCGTGTATCAGTGATCTGCGGCTGTTAGTTATTTGCTACTCAGCCAATACCCTCCTTGTCTGCAGGCCTTCTCTGTGAGAACTTTATGAATTTCTGAAGGGCAACTGAAAGGCTTCCCCAACTGAGGGACCTGACTGAGTACCTACCCATATATGAGGAGTTCGTGTTTATAATTCCACATGAAGAATGCTAAATCCTTTTTTTTTTCCTCATCTGTTTGAGTGCTGTGTTGAATTTTTTGATAAGCGATGCTTGAATTTGTGTTGATGTGATATACCTTTGAAGCATTGATTTATCAACCAAATGTTGTGATTCATGTTGGGTGTATGAGTTGGGTGTATATATATTTATATGTGTGTGTATGTGTATACATGCACATTTATTTATACATATGTGTGTGTGTGTATATATATATAAATTGTCAGAATCTATTTTTGACAGTATTTGACAGCTTTTTTCAATTATTTTTTGGTTCCCCCCTTCATAGTCTTTTTTATCTCTTCATATACAAAGATAATGCACACAGTCTTTATTATGTAGAAAAGATTTTTTTCTTTAATCACTCCTGATTCTCAGTTTGACTTGAAAATAACAGTTTCATTCAAAGTGAAGAACTTAAATAAGCTTACCTGACTTCCAGATTTCTTTTTCTATTGTATGAATAAAAATGCGATGCCAGTTCTGAAAACATGAAGTATATCGTGATGTGAAATGACACGTTTAATAATTCAATAACTGCAATCACTATTTCATTTGTTCACTAATATCATTAGTTCTAAATATAAAACAAGATTTGGAAAAAAAAATAAACAAAAATAAACAAAAAATCCCAACTGTGCATCTAACACAGCTAAGGTAGCTTAGTTTTCTAACCTGCTTGATGTTTCTTAAAATAAACGTTTTTGTATCTTCACTGGAAATCTATTTCCAAGCTAGCTATGGTTAATCTGCCATTGCAGCATTTTCAAGCATATTGAAAATATTTGGAGAAACATACACTAAACAGAAGAAATACTTAAGTAAATACATTGTAGATATTGTGTCCACTCCCAGTTATTGGTTGGGAATAAGAAATTTAATATGGTTCTGAATCAGTATCGGCCACTAAAACCAAACCTCCTCCTTTTGTTTAAGATATGTTTTAAATAAATGCTAAAGAGATTGAAGTGAATTAGGTCACTGTCTCCTGTTTCTTGTGTGTGTGTTTTTTTTTTTTTTTAAATCATGATTCAAATTGTGATTGAAATAATGTAAGTAGAAATCAATCTAGTATGTTAGACCACAATCTTGGTCACTATTATGTTATAGAGGAGACATCCCTGACCTTGTTTCTTCTTTCCTTGGATCCTGCTCGCTCTCTGCTGATGCTGTCAGTGTTGAGTTCTCACCTTTTTTCTGTTCTGTCTACATTTTTTTCTATGTTTCCCCTGTGCTGTGATTGTATTTTCATCTTGCTTTGCACAGGTGCGTACCAGTCTGTTTAAGCCTCTTCAGAAGGCCTCCTCTTGTCAAATTGCTCAGAAGTAGCCATTCATATCTATTTTTTAAACATACAACTCTTCTCCTTTCCTACAGACTTTCAAAAAAAAAAAAAAAAAGGCAGATTATTCTAATTTTCATGCTTGCTTGTATTTGTATCACAGGTAATTAGTTGCCACTCTATCTCACTTTGCTGATGATAGTGTAATGCATTTATCTAATTAAGTAATGGGGAAAGTACAGCTTTAAAGAGGTACGGGATGCTAGAAAAACAAAGACTCCCCATTTAAGTTGCTATAGCGTGTTTGTGCCATCTGTACTACAGATGCTAAAGTATAAATTTGGCTTCCTCTAGGAGACATTAGGGTTGCCATGTGGCGGAGACAGCTGTTGAGATGGGAAGAAATCTTTGAATCTGTAGAGCAATCATATTATTATTCTAGCTGTTGATGGGGCGCGACTAGGGAGCATCCATATTTTGACCTAGCTTTACTATATGAGGCAGAGTTACTTCTGTCTATGTAATCATACTTTCAGTATGTAATGGAGTGCTAAAGTAATTAAAAAATCTTTGTTAAGTTGCAATATTAAATTAAAAATGAATCAAAAAGGTTTTACTTGTGGTCTGATATCACTCATGAGGTGATGTAATACAGGCTATGGAAAGCCTAAGGTTAAAGCTGACATAATGTAAATTTAATTTTTTTCTTTTTTTTTTTGTTTAATGGTGATCTTATGTGATTATGCTTTTGTAAGTGATACAGAGTCTAGTTTGTTACAGATACTTGAATACTAGTAAACCTAGTTTAAGCGAATGTGGACTCCGCTTCTGAATGTCAGACCCTTAATGAGAAATTGCTTTTTTGATTTTAAAAAATTTATTCATCTGTCAAAGTACTGGAAGTAAGTTTTTTCCATCTATCAAAATATCTATCTATCTATTTACATTTATCAGCTACAAGCTATGATTGTTCTTACTGTTGTGGTATAAAACAATTCCTTTTGTTTTTATAAGCAATGAATTAAAAAAGTTAGAAGTGCCAAAACCCCCAAAGAACAAAGAAATATGTAATAGAAATTAAAATTTATTGCTACAGAAATAAATATTTGTGTAATTATGATGACTAAATTTTATTATTACTTGCATCTTGAAACTCTGGTTTAAAAAAAAGCCTTTACAACCTGTACTATAATCAGAATTTATGGAAAATGGCAATTGGAAAAGGCGTCATCGGGGCGGCTTGGTTTTTAAAGGAGTCAATAAACAGTAAATTCCCGTGAGTGACTTGTTTCTCTCCCTGGCAAAGGATATTAACCTTTCTAATAACACCTACCCTCGCAGTGGTTTGTTAGTACTATTTGTAAAAGGAGTTGTGCTACTAAAACTCAAGAGATTAACCCTGAGTGTGTAGCCCCTTCCTGCTACGTCGTTATTACTGAACTGTTATAGATGCTGTCTGCATTATTTTAATACATCAGGTGGATTCTACTCGAGAGAGTTTTCAGTCTAAGGGCTGAGAGTTTAGAAGAGAGAAAAAAAAAATAGCCATTTCATCTAACACGTAGCTCTGTGCAATAAGTCGTATAGCAGATTACAGTGTCTTAGAAAATCCATATGGCCGTCTAGGTGGAAGCCCTATGGACATTCTCCCACCTGCACAGACTGTCTGGAAGTCATTAGGTAAAGGGCTGACTAGCAAGTGGACAAGCATAAGCATGTGCGCAAAAAGGTTAAGCATAGAGGGTAAGTTAGAAATGTCAATGTTACGCAGACTATGACAAAATACCCGAATTTGATACTTGGCAAGAAAGCTGAATTTGATCCATAAGGGAACGTGCTTCAATATAGGACTTCCATGATGGAGTTATGTGATTCTGGCTGTGTTTTGCATGTTTTTGAGCTTTGAAGGCTTTATTAGCTGACAGAGCAAGTTTAAACCTTGCAAGCTTTGATTACCGTATTATTGACTCTCAATGGTATTTTTATTTTTAACAGATATTCAGGACAGTCGATTCTCTCCATGTCTTCCACTGCTGATGACATATTCAACACAAGGTCAAAAAATTTTAGGTGATACGCTTTTCCAGCAATCAGAAGGGGATTTTATTTCTTTAAGGTAAAGGATAAAATCACCCATGTCGTGACGTAATTCAAACTTCTCTCCTGGCTGACCATGATTGATTGATTGATTTATTTATTTATTTTGCATGGTTTAATTAAATAATTACAGCTTTATGGACATAGAAATAGGACAAAGTTTTGTTCTTGTTGTTTAGCTAGAAGGCTTTGTCAGAGTTCTGCTAGTCATTTTATTTTGCCTTCAGAAGGATTTGAACAAGGGAAAACACGGACTGGCCTCTTCTAAATTTATCATCTTAATGTACCTGAAGAAAAGGGAAGATAAGGAACTCCACCCTCCTAGACACTTTTTAAATTTTCTTAGTCTCTGAAATAAACTTGATCAAATTTCAGGGTCAAAAATTAGATACGGTTTTCATTTATGGTAATAATTTTATATAGGTACATGTATATATTTAAGTTGTTTATGTACTAGAATAATAGCTATTATGTACAGTATAAAACATATGCATTCATATTTATATGTAAATATAAATAAACAGCTATTTTGCTAAAAATCTTTGTCCAAACCTTCATTTAAAGGTGTGACAAATTACCCGTTTTGTGCCAAGGAGGCAAGAAATCCTCTACCCTTTACTATAAGGAGGAAAAATTTATATGCATAAAAATTAATGCAATATATTTACAGCGTCATTGCTATTTAGGTTTCCAAGTACTTTTTTTTTTGTGTGTGTGTGATAGGAGGGAGAAATTTGCTTCCTCACAAAACATGTTATAACTTCACTTTGTGGATTAGAACCTAGTTCAGCCAGAGATGGTGATCTGCTTCTACCATCGAGTAACGTTATATAGAAATGATCATCAAACCCAAATAAGATAACTATTAATTCAAAAATCCACAACAGAAAATATTAGAAGTTTGTAGAAATATGTTGTTGCTGAACTCTTATGTTCAACTGAGACCTGGCTTATTTTGTATCCTTCAAACAAATAGACAATATAGTGAAACTGAAGTGGGTGACTCATGAAAAAGGAAAAAAACCACATCCACATTTATACGTGCATGTATAAAGAAGTTGCATGTAAGCAACTTCTGCATTTTCTTTGCACGTTATGCCTATTTTACATTTATTTAACTAATAAATATCCTGTGAATAAAAATACTTCAGTTCTGAATTGACTAAAAAACATTGACATTCTAAGTAGAAATGAGTATTCTTTTCAGACCTTTATCTTATAGGACAGTAGTACTTTTTTGATATTATTTGGCCTTTCTTTAAAGACCTTACATACATTTTAGCCTATTGAGGGGATGTATTTAAGTAATGTTACTCTCCAGTTATTTATCTGGGTATAGTTCTACTTTTTGTGTCTTCTATTAAGGCAGAAAACATGACTGTTGAAATCAAGATGTCATCAGAAATTCACTGACTTTTCTTGCCTCTCCTAGAGGAATCCCTGATGTTTCCAGTGCTTCTGAGGTACATTCGAAGCCTTTGCAGATCCATGAAGCAGTGTGGCTGACAGATACTGAAATACCTTCTGATGCTCTCAGTGACTGCCTTACTTTGTCTCAGCATCCTCTTCCATTCGGAAATGTGGATCCTTGTGATGTCAGTTTTAGTGGTTATTTGTCTCAGCAGGCTTTTGCTGGACAGCTGCTTCTGGACAAGGAGACAAATGACTATAAAAGTGATATTAGTGAGAAGGCATTGCTCTCCCAAACAGGTGAAAGTTTAGCACGCTTGACTTCAGATAAGATGCTAACCGAAGCAAGTAGACTGAAGCAAATTGAAGCTTCTCCTGCAAAGCAGACCTATAGTACTTCCGTAAAAGATGAACGTTTCTCTTGGGACAACAATGTACCAGCTCCTACTCTTGAGCTTTCGGAGAAAGAAGAAAAGTTACTGAGCCATGATGAGTTCTCATCATCTTCAGAAAACTCTTGTAAAACGGCATTGACGAGGAACTCTGAAAAATGTGAAAAAGAGATGCAAATGGAAAAGGTAAAAATGGCTGAGAGTGAGTCAGAAGGGTTGATAAGAGAGATGGAGAAGCTAGAAAAAGAAAGGAAGGTTCCTGAGCTTGGTTTCTCTAGTACGTTACCTGATGATTTAAGGAAAGACAATTGTAAAAAAGCAGATACACGAGATGTATTTTCTGCGGAGAATTCTGAAATAGCCAGACTGTCCAAGGAACATGGTGCAGATCTGAATGATTCTGGAAGCTTGAAGTTAAAGGAACTCCAAGCAGCTGTTCTAGCTCACCATAAACAACCATCTTCTGCGATGCGGTTTGAAAAAGAGGAATTTGTCCCTACTGTGACAGCTACCAGTGATTGTGCACCTAAACAACTAGTTACGACCAGCATGAAAGCTGTTTCGCCATGCAGTGAGAAAGAGAGCGCACGAGTGGAAGTAGAACCTGGAGTAAGCAGGACTGAATTAACTATTTCAGATTTTTCCATAGAAAGGGGACATAAAGTTACAGATATTTCCCCTTCATTTAATCTCCTTGTAGGTGATGGTTCATTCTCTGGACACTTTGCTCATCCAAATTATCAGTCTACTCCAGGGATACTTGTAAACAAAAACGTTAAGGTAGATGAACTGAGCAAAACCCTTCCCAACAAATCAAATATTCAGAAGTCTCTTTCATGCTTAAATGAAGAAACTTTAGGGAACTCCTCTACCAGTACACCTGCTTGTTCTGTTGAGAAGCACCATTCACTCCAATGTGCTTGGGAAGAAAAAAAAGAACACTGTGTGGCCTTAAAATTGAAATATCCCCACACTGGAAGAATCCAGTCTCTCCCATCCCTTAATTTCATGGAGAAGGTAGGGGCTTGGAATGTAAGCCAGCCAGAGAAGATGTCTGATTCATTGGCTTTCTGTGACCCAAGTGGAATTTCTGCTGGAAGGAAAGCCTACAGTGCAATCGTCAATTCTTCAAGCCATATTTTATCAATACGAAATAGCAGTGGCGACCCCAAGGATTATGTTGCTACTTCCTCTAGAGAGACGGAGTCATTGGCAAATTTGCATTTCCCTAATGAAAACTTAGTGCTCGTCCGCCCTCTTACCAGATCTCAGTCTGACGACTCAGTAAATGTTGCCAGTAGGAACCCCTCCCTGACTGAAGTTATTCAGCCAGCAAACTCGACACAGGCAGTGCAGCCGTTAGAAGAAGAGAGTGATATTTTAGGAGTGTCTGAAAATAAAGAAAGCAGTAGTAGTTTAGTAGGCTCCATGTTACGGAAGTTTTCAGGCCACCTTGTTGTTACTGGATCTAGTGATGAGGATGTTGAAAGTAGCAGTAAAGAGCAAAGTTCAGACCCAGATGTTTTCATCTCTAGTGAAAGAGTCGATCAGCTCCTTAGAGGGGATGGAAACTCTCAAACTGATGACCAGGAGAGTTGTGGTGGTCTTGAAAATCAAAAGGAGTCTCATAACCTAGACGTTACTACTGGCCATGTCACTATGGAACATTTCAGTGATGTTTCCCCAGATAGTCTGAATCTTCTTGCTAGCTCTGGGGGAAGTAGCCAGGTGGACTTGGGCTCTGCAGGGCGCTCTTCTGTGGTTTCTAGGCGTTTCTTCACTAGCTCAGAAGAGGATAACTTTGTCCCCTTTGGAGTAACTCCTTTGAAAACTCCAGAGAAAGAAGAGCTAAACATTGAAGAAAGGATCCCAGTAAGTTATTTTCTCATATTTTTGTGACTATTCTTTACCTTTGATTATGAAAAGATGGACTACACTTGTATGCCTTACA